CGCGAAACCTACCTCGTCCTGTGGTCTTTGCAGCACAAGGGAATGATCCATAGAGCAAAGATCTAGTGGATTCCAAGCCCATTCTATCTGGTTTCCGGTCGTTTTACGGATGATTGATATTTATCATAAGCTCACATCACTGAGAAAAGCACGTATGGAAAATTAAATGAACTGGTAAGAAATGTGGTTGGAATAGCACCTCATTTTCAGAGAAGAGACTGCATCCCTCCTGTAGACATGCAGTTGGAGCTGCAGCTGAGAGCTCACATCCAAATCCAAAAACTGGAAACAGACAGAGCTGGGAGTGGCGGGAGGCCTTTCAGGCCTCAAAAATGCACCCCCACCTCCAACAAGGCCACACCTTCTAATCCTTTCCAAACAGTTCCACAAACCGGGGACCAACTATTCAAACATATGAATCCATTCTCACTCAAACCACCACAAACATTTAATCATCATTTTCCCTCTCCATCACTCTATTGTTTTTAAAAGCATCTGTATATACCCGACACATAAATTTTAGAAAGATGACTTAGAGACAATATATGCTGCTATGTTTTCCCTGGACATATGTGATCACACCCTTCCCAGTGTAGACAAAAGATCAAAGATGAGACATTCATATAGCAGTTAGATCTACTAGTGAGAGGGTGGAAAAATAGAATTGGATTTATGGGAACTAACCCCATTAAAAGTTGCCATGGGAATTATAAAGAGCACAGAGAACTGTGGAAATTCAGGAAAATCAAGCCAAAATCAGTATAGAAGAAGATTACATCTGATAAATGAGGTCTGGCAATAGCTTCCAGTAATACTCTGCCCCTGGTTCCTGGTATTTTGTCAATATGAAGTAGATATTAGTCCATAGCGATATATTAGGAGTTGGGATCTAGCTTTATACACCAGAGGTTTGTCTGGGCTTAAGATTAAGAATAGAATTTAGCCCTAGTGAGGTAAAGCAATATAGGCTAGAAAAACACATGGTCTATGCACAGCATACAATGTCCCAAATGGAATTCTTAACATTCTCTCCTTCTTCCCTGTTCTGTTGGTTTTTTATTCATTCCTATCACATTAAATGACAACAATATCCCTTCAATTTATCCAGTCAGACTTCTTGAAGGAAAGTCTTGATTTCTTTTCTTATATCCCACATTTAATCAATCAGCACTCTTGCTGATTTCATCTTTGACACATCCTGAATTTGAGTCTTTAGCCGATCCACTGTTAGTATCGTGTTCCCAGTCCCCATTACCTCTCACCTAGATAATTGCTATAGCTTCCAAAAACTAGTTGTCTACCATTGCTTTTTACTCCTTTAGGTGCATTCCTGACATAACAGCAAACAAGAGTCTGTTAAAATGAAAGTGAAAATCTCCAGCATCTTCCTGTCTCAAAGAAAAGTCAAAGTTCTCCCAGTAACTTAAGAAGCATAGGTAGCCCCGCCTCTCTGTACACACCTGCCTGGAATGTTTCCTTCCAGATGCTATTACATGGTTTGCTTTTGTACCATTTGGAGTGTTTGTGGCTATCCTTCTGAAGAAGTGGCTTCAATTTTGAGAATTAGAGAGATAGCTCACCACAGAGTTAACACTTTAAACAAATCAATATGATACAGACAGGTATTTCATAGTCCTTAGAGTCATCCTTATTTTATTTATTTTGGGGGGGGGTAGTTTTTGAAACAGAGAGTCTGTTACATAGGTCAGACTGGCCTCAAATTCATCATCCTTCTGTCTCAGCCTTCTAACTGATGTACCACCACACCCCGATTTAGAGCTAAGATCTTGCACTAAAATTCATGTGACTGAAATGCTGTAGCTCTACTCTGCCAGGCTTAGCTGTTAAGGACAGGAAGGAGGTTGGTAAATCAGTGAAGAGATCTGCAAGATCGTGCCATTCACAGTTGTTTTTCCATTGTTGTCTGTCTCTGAAACGAATGACCTTTTTGCTTCAAATGATCATGAGCTTCAAATGTACATGATACAACCAGTAGGTATCAAGTTTAGGGATTCCATCTAATCCAAGAAGAAGGTAAGCAGGCACTGTAGGCCTAGACAGGGAGACAGAATCATGGACGTCAGAGAATCAGCAAGAACAAAACACACAGGTCAGCTCTTATCGTAGTTTAGACACACCACTCTTTGTATGTCTGGATAGAGATAAGAGTAGAGACACTAGGAAAGCGTGCTTTGGATATAGGGAGAGGTGATGGATTAGTACTCAGTGTTTGTTTTTACAAAGGTTCTTTCTTACCTTCACTTTCCACTTCTTAACAACAGTAATTACAATTTGCTTGTTAAAATAGCATGCACGATGGTGGAACCTGTACTGCCAGCACTTGGGAGGTAGAGGAAGGAGGACCAGAAGTTAAAGGCCACTTTCAGCTACATACCAAATTTAAGTAAGGTCAGCTTGGATTACATAGAGCCTATCTCAAAAACGTTATTGAATGCTTTCTATAAAAGGAATTGATTTGAGTATCAGGGGTCAGTTATGGGAAAGGCCTGATCATGTTCAAATTGAGGGCTTGCAATGGGAAGGAAATAGTGGGGCAAAGAAGATGCATTACATAGTGACGTGGAGAAACTCCAATACATAAATTGCCTAAATTGTAATAACTACTGTTGGGATGAATTATTCATTTAAAATTTATTTTAAAAAGATTTATTTTCGTGTGTGTGTGTGTGTGTGTGTGTGTGTGTGTGTGATGTGTGTGTGTTACCATGTGTGTGGATAGCAGCAGAGTCCAAAAGACAGTGTTGGGTCCTCTGGAACTGAAGTTATAGGAGGTTGTGAATGTCTCACTCAGCAGGGGTGCTGGTAGTCAAATCCAGGTCCTCTGGATGAGCAACGAGTTCTCTTAAACACCGACCTATCTTTTCAGGGCAACTTTAAAATTTCTTTATTTATATTTTAACTTCTCTGTGAAATTTTCCCTTTAAACAATTATAAATTAGCTGTAACTCAGCACATAGACACAGGTTTGTGACCCCCCCAACACATGCAACATGGTGCATGACTTTTCTACATAATTCATTTGGAGGGTACAGGTTATTACATGTGAGAGTCACTATATTATCTTCTTGAGAAACAACAGATGTGTTTCCCACGACCATCTTTGGTAGTTTGTCAAATTATTGAATTTCATTGATATCTCATTAATGTTCTTTTATAGAATGTCTCTAGCAACTTCAAAGAATTATGTTGTTGTTTTTCTTCTTCTCTCTGTGTAGACTTCTTGAGCTTCTTTTCAGTATCTGCCATGCTGACAAATTTCTCTAAAGAGATCTGGAGATTAAATATCAAATACTAGTTATGTAGGAGGTGAGTTCTTAGAATAATTTGGGTTCCGAAAGGAAAATAAAAATTTGTTTCCATCAAGGTTTTTGTTTTCAACCAATAGAAAGCAAGTTGCTTTAAACAGTATTTCCCATTGTTAATTCTGTGTTTCATTCTAACCATAATAATGTTACTATTTTGGAACTCTTTGCCATCTATAGCTTGTGCTTTTGTATCAGTTAAGAGGGTGTGTGTGTGTACATGTGTGTGTGTGCTGTAGTGGTTGAAAAAAAGCATGGGTTTTTCTGTTCCAAGTGAGCAACTCATTAACATCTTAATCTTTATTAATTATTAGGCAAAAATTTCTTGGTGGATAATACTTGATAGTAATATTGCTATCAATACTATATTCAATTGCTATATTCAAACTTGTAGAGGTTTGAATGAGAATGGCCCAACAGGCTCAAATATCTGAATACTTGGTCCCCAGTTGATAGAACTATTTGGAAACAATTAGGAGGTGTAGCCTGTTGGAAGGCTTTGAGGTTTCAGAAGTTAGCTGCCTCTGCCTCATGCTTGTAGGTCAAGACATGAACTCTCAGCCACAGCTTCAGTTCCATGCCTGTCTGCCTGTCGTGATGCTCTTTGCTGTGATGGTCATAGACTCCAACTTCTCAAACTGTAAGGCCCCCAATGCATTCTTTCTTCTCTAAATTGCTTTGGCCATGGTGTCTTAGCACAGCAACAGAAAAGTAACTAAGGCAACCTCTAAACTACATCTCATTGCTTTGACACTCTGAAGAAACAGAGCACACCCCACCTTATCCCCCACTCCTGTACATACTACAGCTCCTGTATAGCAGATTCTTAGCTGACTCAATGAGGCTGGAATATTAAGCTGGAATTGGAGACTGCTGTTATGGAGCATTTCCTTCCGTGTCGTACTCTCTTCCATGAGCTGGGCTATCAATTGTTAGAGAGAGAGAGAGAGAGAGAGAGAGAGAGAGAGAATGTCTATGGTAGGGATCCGAGGGGATTTCCTGATAGTAGGATAGCATATCAAACCACAATGATATGGTTCTCTTCATTCAGCCTATCATCTCTGCTACTAACCACTTCCAGAAATACTCTCACATGCACACCCATAAGTAATGCTTTTACTGTCATTGGGGTATCCCCAGCCCAGTCAAACTGACACATAAAATCAGCTAACACATGCACAACCATTAGAGACAAGCTTAGGTAAAATCAGTAGATAAGATAACTGGAGTATAAAGAACCCAAAGGTTAGCTGGGTGGTGGTGGCACACTCCTTTAATCCTAGCACTCAGGAGGCAGAGGCAGACAGATCTCTGCGAGTTTGAGGCCAGCTTTGTCTACAAAGCTACACAGAGAAGCCCTGTCTCAAAAATAACCACAAAATAAATCAATAAGTGAACCCAGATGTTATAGCACAATTATGTATA